TTCACTTTTAATTATTACCAATAAAATGTACAGATCGGTATGAGAGTAATGTGCATTTCAAATTAAGTATAGTTGTCTTTGCGGATATATGAGTCTAACTTACCTTTCAGTCAAGACTACTATTCTTGCATATAATATTATATTTTTTTATGTGCAGTACCTCTCCGACGAATCTATAAAAACTTCTTATTCCAGACAGCACAGAATATTCTATGAATATTCTGACAACGTTTATTGTTCAACGTTTTGTATTTATTGTTTTATACTCTTGAATATATAAGGTTTTTGCAGCACAGAAACTGACCGCCATAATGTTTTAATCGGTCTAAAATTGCATCTTTACCGAATGTCATGTTCATCTGAATTCATGCGACTTCTTGCCGTTGAAAACGTTACAATTCGAATTTTTCGAACTAGTCGAACTCCAACCTCAATTCGGTTAAGTCGGTGAGGTGAAGGCCTCTGAAGCTCTGAAGGGAGGGACGCCCATCCATCACGCCATCCCACCATGTAATGATGCTGTTAATTTATTATTAAGAAATATTGTTTTATTGCATTTTGCAATGTTTGTTTTAACTGATGAAAGTGAATCATAATATACTAAAAATGTGGGTATATGTGAAGTTTTTGAAAGATGATGTCTGTGAAATAGTTGAAGCGTCCAACATAAAAAGGTTCGACAAGGATGATATAAAATATAATGAAAAATATTCAGTGAAATGAAAGGATGGGGACTACTATAAGGCCCAAATAATATATGCCAAAGGTAAATACCTGTAAATATACCTAATATCAACTAAGTCTATTTGAGTGCTATCTGATATGGAAATATATGGACGAGATATTCGATTCAAGTTTCTTTCATTATATAAGTTGAATGTATGTAGGGTCAGTTTAGTTATTATTGTTCACAGTAGAGAAATCAAGAATAACTTGACGCCAATAAGGTATAACAAGCATTTTTGTGGGTCTAAGTGTCTATAAATTGTTACTTCAAAAATATACCCAATGAGTATTATGCTCTGGTTTATAGATTCTTTAAAAGAATTAACAGATGTAATATTGACTCGAAGAGTCAGGATTGTTAGGAAACAACTCTTAAAGAGTGGAGATGAGAGCAGCTCAGAGGAAGGAACAACACCAGGAACATATGAAGAGAAAAAAACAAGAAGTAACTTGATTTGAATGAGGCTGTGAGCATTCAGAATGAACAGAGGATATTCCTGATGAGTATTTAGGTGTAAATGTGTAGGGATAGATAATTCACTAGAATGTCTCTTGGCTTATTTCATATGAAAAGTGCTTACAGAAGGTAATGTCCTTTTGAGGTTCAATAGGAATTCATTGACAAAAAAATCATTTAGTTCTCATCAAATCACCTACTATTATAGATTATGCATGATGTGTTTTTAATAACAATAATAACAGGACTCTCTCATACTTTAAGGAGTTGAAAATTGCTTACAGGCCATGTAAAATGCAAGAAAGAAGAATGAGATAAATATTCTCTATAAACATGCATCTCAACATATGGAAAAAGCTCAGTCATACTTCCATACCTCATGACATCCAACCATTTACCAACTGAAAAAAGAGAATGATGTGTTGAAGAAAGAAAACAGCATTTTGAAAAGGGAGAAGGAGTCATTGAAAACAGAAAAAACATTATGAAAATCTAAATGTGTCACTTCAAAAAGTTGTTACTGCAAATTAGTGCTAATTTACAGTTGCAACTGTAAATTAGGCAAATATTCGTGGAAAAAAGTTTTTCAAGGATGGCAGTTCAGACGCGTCGTACAGAACAAATTTCTACGATTAATTTTAGAAAAACCCTAACGATATTCTACAGATCTTTCATATAAGGAATGCGGGGTACTGGATCTGAGACAACTATATTGTATGAATGTTATATTGAGATATGAAAAAATAAAAAATCACACCAGTCTACCTAAGCATACCTATGGTACCCGACAAAGACACCACTATGTTATTCCACAGATGAGTAAAACTGTCTGTCAGCGATCATTTTCTTACATAGCACCCAAGACGTTCAACTCCATTCCTGACAATATAGAAGAAATAATGAACTTTTCCATTTTAAGAATAATGTGAAACGTTTCATTCACGAAATACCAAGAGCCAAATGTAAGGAGATTGTTGAATCAAATCTCTCCAACTGACTGTTTTTTTTTACTAGTCTTGTTTATACTAGTCTTTAATCCTGTTGTACCCGGGTCTTGACATCATAACTATTTTTTTAATTTTAAATTTGTTGTCATTTTAAGATGATCTTATTTCTATGTTGTCTTCATTTTATTCACTTATTGAATTATAATGTTACCTATCCCCATTTATATTTATATTTTTTTATATTTTTTTTATGTGTGCTGCTCATCTTATACTGTATAGATTCTATGAATAGTTTTCATGTATTGAGTGAGATACATCTACCTTGAAACAAGTGTTTAATCACTTATCGAGTGTGTATCACTTATGCATTATTACGTAATGTTATTGTATTTCATTGTATTGGAAAAACCTGGTATAGTTGAATAAGATATTTTTATATTTTTATTTCGAAGCAAGTGGTTGCTCACGTATCATTTATGCATTTCTTTTTTACTGTATATTTCTTTCTCTCATCAATAAATGATATTATTATTATAATTATTATATATATACCACTGCCTGATATGGATTTTCAAAAATCAGAAACGGTTTGAAACAACTAATGTCAGAACCACTAGATTTACTGAGAATAGGTCGGTTACTGTCCCGCTTTTCAAAAAGAACCACACTCACAGGTTAATTTTTTTTCTACAACCCAGAGCTATACAATTTGCTTTCGATTGACCTCAAAAATACAAGTGAATTAAATATTTTCAAAAAAAATTCAAGAATAGTTTTGTTCCAAAATCCATCCATTAAGGCCGTGTGACACTAATCATTTCTGATGTCAAATTTGCTGGTAAATTTGATGACAAAAATATTTGCACAAAAAAATATTGATGAAAGAAAAATAGCAGTTTGACACTATCAACATTTTTGTTGATACAATAACATGTCAAATCATATAAGAACATGCAGCCTAACCTCACTTAAAGCAGTATCTGAAGGATATTTTTTAAAGAAATGAAATAATGAAAACAAACAATTTGAACTCATTATTAATTGGTGGTGCAACGGCAGCAACAATTATCGTGCTGAGCATGATGCTGAAAAAAAAAGGGCAGGAAGATTATGGTGCAGACCTTGGCTTCTCAGAAGAACTAGTGGTAGAGGTATCTTGCATCTATTGAATGATGAATTGAGGGTAGAAGATCCTTCATGTTATAAAAACTATTTACGGATCAATTCAGCACAGTTTGAGAGTTTATTAAATTGTATCACACCTTTGATCAAGCAACAGAATACAAGAATGTGGGACTGCATCCCTGAGAGAAGCAGGTATGTGTACCTACCTGAAGTTTAGTTTTCTTAGTTTTTTGAGCATCCTATATAGGTATACCTACCAATTAATGTATTTTCGTTGGCAGGTTGGATATTACACTTAGATTCCTGGCCACTGGTGAATCATATAGGTCTTTGATGTATTCCACAAGAATTCATGAATCAACTATATCCAAATTTGTACCTGAAGTATGTGATGCAATAAGTGTGAAATTTAAGAGATATCTGAAGGTAAGCCCAAATATTTCTATGATATTCATACTTACTATTCATTTCAATAATAATAATTTATTATTCATTTCATTATTCCATATAGACACCATCTACAGCAGAGGAATGGAAAGCAGTAGCTGAAGAGTTTGATGAGTTCTGGCAATTTCCAAATTGCCTTGAAGCTTTAGATGGTAAACATATATCATTTCGACCACCATCTTCTGAAGGCTCCTACTATTACAATTATAAAGGTACAAACAGTATTGTTCTCCTAGCTTTGGCTGATGCTAAGTGCAAATTTATATATGTCAACATTGGTGTCAATGGAAGAATCAGTGTTCCATCAAAGCAACTTGGGAAAAATGTTAGAAAATGGAGAACTACATTTTCCAAACAAAATACCACTTCCAGGGCAACAGGATTTAACACCATATGTGATAATAGCAGATGATGCATTTCCAATGTGCGACAATCTCATCAAACCTTATCCACAAAAAGGCTTGACTTTGGATAAGAAAATCTTCAACTACAGGCTTTCTAGGGCTAGGAGAGTTGTTGAAAATAGCTTTGGAATTTTGGCTAATAGGTTCAGAGTGCCTTTAACCCCTATACATCTATCTCCAGATAGGGTAGAATTGATAACTTTGTGTTGTGTTATTCTACACAACTATTTAATAGATGACTATGGGGATGTAAAAAAAAGTGATATGGAAGAATCTCTGAAGAGAATGTGTAATATAAGCCAACAAGGTGGCAATAGATCAGCTTCATCTTCCAAAGGAGATAATTTCAAAACTTTTTTCAACTCTCAATTAGGGACAGTACCATGGCAAGACAGGCAGGTGGAAAAATACAATTTCTAAAGAATAATTTTTTCATTGATGTAGCTTTCAGTGGATATTGATCTTATAAAATAAATATATGGGGTGAATACAAACAAAAATCAAGCACTGAACAAAGTGAATTTCTGCATGTTCTCATGGTTTATTGAATATTGTTATGTTAGTGGAGGTCCTTACTTTCTCCTATGTGCTGTAAAAGTATATTTAATCCTGCTAATAGTTTCGAGAACTGTAAATGAAATGCTGATTGAAATACTCTGCTCTTTATTTGAACTTTTTGAATCACTATCAATAATTGCATTATAGCAATGCTTTATAACATAACTTCTATAATTCTAGATGAGATCAATTAGCAACTGATACAAACATATATATTATTACACACACATGGTTGAAATGAAAAGAATATAAATTGGTGACAAACATTCAAAAATTGACATATTTCACTAGAGATCACATCATAACTTCAATTTTTAATAAAATGCCTAGATGAACTCAAAATTCATCAAGTCTCCTCTTCCTACAGTCTTTTATTGCTGAAAATAGTTCCATTGTTATTGTTTCTTCCAGCTGTAACCTAATGTCTGGATATTCAATTTTATGGAGTTTTGAAACAATAAAATTTGCCAAGGCTCTATCCTCAGAATAAATATCAGTTTGTTCGTCTTTTGATGCAGATCCTGTTCCCAAATTATTAACTTCCTGAAGAGTTTTGCTTATAGTCTTCAAAGTATTGGAAGCTTCTTCAACTATATAATCATGGTCATTGGATTTCTTCTTTTTATGTTTTGGAGCCTTTGCTGATGCACAACTATACACTGACTTTGGTAGATCTGAAGTGCTTTCAGACTGCTTTTGTTTTGTATCAATGCTATGCACATCATCAGACAAATAACTAACCTATCTATATTGGAATCATTTTCAGCTTCTTCTATTCTGTACCCCTCATCTATCACCTCATATTCCACTTCATCTACAGTTGATTCATGAAGATTTACAGAGTCGATGGACTGCCTAACTTCAATATGGTCATTGATAAAATGTAAATGTTTGAAGTACCACAAACTTGGAAAGTATACCTGAAAAAGAGCAATGGTTCATTTGGTGTTGACAATTTTGCTACTGAAAATTGAAGGTTAAATAAGAATAAATATCATCTCATATTTTACTTACATCATCAGATCCTTGACCACTTTTCAAACTGTTTACATGTTTCTTATACTCTGATATGTAAGTAGCCCTCAAACCTGCAAGCTTAACTTTAATCTCCATCACTGTTACTGATGACCTAAGGGATTTCAGTGCTGATTCGATTTTTTCGAACGCCTCTTGTCGGGCATGTTTATTTGAATATAATTTAGACTTGACTGCATATAGGCAGGGGTACTTTCTATATTCGTCAATGAGACAAATCACCTGTTCTTTTGACCACGACATGATGAAAGTTGAACAGAAAAAAAAAGGGAAAATAACAAATATTAAATATTTGAGGTTATGAAGGTATTTTGACTTGACAGATGGCATACAGAATTGCGTTCATTTTGCGCAGATTTGCGGACATTTTTATGAAAATATAGGACTGGTTCTAATTATTTTGATATTATAAATATTTATAGTGTATGACACATTGAAAATATTTTTGTTATCATTTTTGTTATTATTTTTGTTATTAAATTTAACAGGTGTCATACAGCCTTTACGAAAGACATTTTTTGAAAACTCACTCTCCAGGATGTTTGGAATCTTATATGCAGTGTATACCAGTCCAATTCGACTGGTTTGGATACAGACACTTTTTGCCCGGGTGTGACATCAGTGGGAATGCCTGTAGGAAGAGGAAAGCGCTATGCGAAAAGGGATCATCTCTATCAATAATAAAGACAATTTTTGTCTGCCTCGGGCACTAGTTGTAGCCATTGCTGCAGCTAATAAAGATCCTGAGTATCGCAAAATTCGACGATACATTGGAAAGATGCAAACACAACGAACTGTACAACTCATGAAGTATGCAAAAATTTCAATTCCTGAGGAGGGTGCTGGAATAATTGAGCGCAAAAATTCCAACAGTGCCTCTCAGATGATTTCAAAATTGTTGTCTATAGCTATAAGGGTCGTAGCATACTTTTCAAAGGAATGTCAAGCAGCAATCAAAATATCAACCTCCTTCATCACAACGGCCACTAGAATGTAATAACTTCGCTAACTGCAGCTTTCTGTTGTAGTTACTATTGTGAGGATTGTAATATTCCATACAATAATCAGAATGATCATAGATGCGGCGGAACATATTTGGGGTGTCATCAGACTTCTTCTTGTCCTCAAGATCAAGTGAACATTAAGTTTAGAATTTGCAATAGATCAGAGGACCTGTATGTCATGAAAATCATCTGAAACCAAAATCAATGGGTATAAGTACGGTTTGTGGAAAGATGTTCGAAGACGATGAAGAGCGATAGACAACATGTGTGTGGTGAAATATATTGCAAAATATGTAAGAAACATGCACCCGAGGGCCATTTGTGCTCTATACAACCAGACACTATGACTCCGAGAATCAAAGAAACCCTGTTCGTCTTTTACGATCTAGAAACACAGCAGAAAAAGGTATTGTTTGAGTACTGACAAAAAAATATGTGCGAAATGTGGAGTTCGACTACATATACTGAAATCAGAACCCTTGGAAAAATTCGTTGAATTTATTCTGAACCAAAGAAAAATATTCAAAAATATAGTAGTTATAGCACACAATGGAGGAGGGTTTGATCATCAGTTCATTCTCAACAACATTCTGGTCAAAACTGATCTGAAGCCAGAATTGGTGATGCGAGGTACCAAGCTGGTGATGATGGTGGTGGGAATGTCAAGTTCTTAGATTCGTTGAATTATTTACCCATGGCTCTATCGAAGCTTCCGAAAGCTTTTGGGCTCGCCGACGAACTCAAGAAAAGATACTTCTTACACCTCTTCGATACCTCAGAAAATCAAGGTTATGTCGGTCCACTGCCATCAGTTGAATTCTACGACACTAATAACATGAAGGGTTGTGATCGCGATATCTTCCTTGCATGGTACGAATCTCATAAGGATGATGAATTCAATATGCAACGGGAGATGATAGACTATTGCATATCAGACGTCGAGATTCTCACCCATGCTTGTTTGAAATTCAGACAACAACTACTGGAAACCACTAATGTATGTCCCTTCACAGAGGCTTGTACCATAGCTTCTGCATGTCATGAAGTATATCGTCAAAACTTCCTCCAATCTAATACCATCGGTATTATACCAAAAAATGGTTACAGATGGCGAGATAATCAGTCAGAAGTAGCGATTGAGTGGTTATTGTGGGAAGAGCATCAAAGAGGTAACAACATTATACACGCCGGTAAAGAACAAGAAGCTCGTGTACATGGAGCGAAGGTCGATGGTTTCTGTGCGGATACCGATCAAGTATTCGAATTCCATGGCTGCAGGTATCACGGGTGGCCGCAGTGCTATAAATATCGAAGAAGTGATCCTCTACTTGAGAATCCCACTGAGTCTCTAGATTTAAGATTTGAATCTACCATAGCAAAGTTTGAAAGACTGCGTAATTTCGGTTGCGAAGTGATTGAAATTTGTGAGTGCGAATTCAGGAAGAAACTGACAGTTGAAATGAAAACATATACTGAAAACCATCCAATCCTCAGAAATTCATCTCTCGATGCCAGAGATGCTTTCTTTGGCGGACGTACTGGTAATGCAGTTGAATATTACAAATGTAAGGAAGATTCGGGAATCTGAATCTGAAGTGAAAATAAGCCCATTTGAAGCAACTTACCTCTGTCCAAAATTTTCCGAGTTACAGGTGAAGATGAAAAACAAAATTCAGTTAAATATTTTCAATATAATTCCAAAGGAAAACCCAAAAAAACTCATGAAACTACTATTACAATGGAACATATAATACAATTTTTTAATCCTAATCTACAGGGTGTCCCTGGAAGGTCTGTACACAATGTCAGCACATAGTCCTGAAGTGAAAATAAGCCCATTTGAAGCAACTTACCTCTGTCCAAAATTTTCCGAGTTACAGGTGAAGATGAAAAACAAAATTCACTGACCAAATTACATCCACAAAGGTTATAGCAAAAATGTTTTATTCATTGAACACTAAAAATCGAAATATCTGGAAATCGCTTACTCAAGCGGATTTTCACAGGAGAATATTTTTTGCTTGAAGGTGATCAAAACATTATTTTCTCAACAAATATGTGGGGAAATACACTGAAAAAGAAGTAATGTCGTTTCTAATCTATGAAAAGTCCATTGCCCTCTGATAGCTATAGTGAAAAGGTGTCTGTATTTGTGTTTCACATCCAAGAAATACCTGTTTATGAATTCTTGAAGTTATATCTTTGGAATTGTTCATAAATTCTGAGAAATTGGATTTTTATTCTTTAAGTTTACCACTGTGTATCTTAGAAATGGAGCAGTTTTGGACTTGGCTCATTTTGATCTCAGGAATATCCTGTATCCGGTAATGAAAGATTTTTTGTAACGTTTTTAAATGTATTCAACTCTCAAGTAATGATTTTCATGGGTTTTCAACATGTCCTAGACAATTATCGGTTTGTACTCGCATACACCGGCGTCACCAATCAAATTTTAATTTCCATTGAAAATTGATGATTTTGAATGATTTTTGAATGTATACAAATTGGTTTTTGTTTGAATTTGAAAAAAATTACACTACGAAAGAAATTGCATACTCTGCACTCGTGTGGGAAGACCCGAAACTATTAACTGAACATGTGATGAAGAGGGGGTATCTTTGGACAATTATTCAACGTATGCTCTTTCCCAGATATATTTTTGATGTTACTTTTGTATCATGATTAACTAGTTTGCATACAATTGTGGCGCGCACATGTGTTGTAGTAATGTTTTGAACATGCACTGTTTTTTGTAATCACAATAAAAGTCAAAAAGCCAAAATCAATATTATTGTTTCTAGCCATTAGTAGAATTTATATATTTGTTTCGATTTTTTTATGTTACCTGGAATGCCAATCTGGTGCACATTTTCTTACCACTCTAGGATTTATATGACTCTGAGTCAATTTATAGGCAATTCAAAATTAATTTTTCAGCTCATATTCAAACAAACTCTTGAAATGCTTATGTTCAACTCTCATAAACTGCTATTTGCAGATGACATAAAGATATACTGTGGAATACAAAATGAAGCAGACTGTCACACATTGCAGGAGGACTTAAACTCATTGACTAATTGGTGTGCCCGTAATAAATTGTACTTGAATACAAATAAATGTAAAATCCTACCAGTAACATTCAACTATGTACTAGATGGCGAAAGCTTAATGCGGATCACGGAATCAACGGATCTAGGAGTTCTGATCAAAAACTCACGTTCTCCAATCATATTCAGAATGTGATATCAACTTCAATGAAAAGTTTGGGCTTTTTGATACGCAACTGCAAGGAATTTAGGACCTTTGATGCCTTGAAAACCATTTATTTCACACTGATCAGAAGCAAATTGGAGTACTGCAGTGTCATTTGGAATCCGTCCCATATGAAACATATATCTAGCTTAGAAAATGTTCAAAAAAAGTTTTTGAAAAATGCATTTTTCAAAAAACACGGCGCTTACCCCGAGAGAGGTTATAGCTATGATTCATTGTTGGACGAGTTTCATATGATATCTTTAAAGAAATTCAGGGAAAGCCGAGATATGTGTTTTACATATAAAATCATACATGGACTAATAGATTGTTCACCCCTATTGTCTCATTGCTATTCAGTGTACCGCGTATCTCATCTAGGTTCTGTAGCACATTTCATATTCCTGTTTCCAATACAGTGCATCATTTTCATTTTCCTATAGCTACTATATCTAGAAGTGTTAATAAGGTTCCTAGTGTAGATATATTTTTTTTAACATTCAAACAATTCAAGAAACAGATTCTCCATTTCATTCAGAATTGACTCTGCTATATGTATAATTATTTATAATGCAAATTGTATACACCTGTAAATGGGCTTTTGGGCCTGCTGGATGTATTGTACCAATAAATAAATGAATAAATAAAGAAATAAATAAATAAATTACTTCTGAAACCTGAAATTGATTTTACTTTTTCAAATTTAGTTTTTTTCTTTTTGAGGTTTATAGGTACTCGAAATGCCCTTTTATTTTCCAGGTTATTGCGCGAGCATTTATTCAGATGTGGAAAATCGGAGCACATCCTCAGCTTCCTTGTCGAATCTACTGGGTGTTCACACCAGGGCTCCAAAGGATACTGAACTCCAAATTGCCTCCACATTGTTCTGTTCCATGTAGCCCCATCATTTGTCACAACATCGATGAATAATCCAACATTTTCGCATAGAATGAATAATACATTCCAGTATTATTTTAGCTTGGATGTTACCATTTATATCGCCATTAGTCAAGAAACATGCCAGAGCTTGAAGGCCTTTCCCCGCAAAAGGTTGGAACATGATGACAAAAGCATGATTTCCCAGAGTATTCTCCATTTCCTTTGGT